CCTCCACATTCATGATAGAGATTGGTAGTTGAAGAAAGTGAATTGTACATGAGAATACTCATTAGATGCCCATTACCATCCTCTCATTAACTTCTTCACTGCATCTGATCCTTCTCTTAGACCTCCTTTCTTTAGAAGACAAATTACATGTCTCACAACCCGTATCTGGTTATTCCTTTCACAAAGTACATGCTTGCATCATGTTAGTAATGGTAGTGGCGGAGGGGAAAGTGTTATTGTCAGGTTTGTAATCTCTTTTAACTTTAACTCATGCAAATTGGATTAGTTAACATGAATTCTCTTGATCCATAGGATGACTTTGAACAGGTCATTAATAAAAAAGGATAAACATCCTACCCTTTTGATGACTTCTTTGCATTAGTATTTATTATAATGATGCCGGTGTGTTGTGCCCCAAGCAGATGAAGTATTGGGCATTGTTGCAATGAAACAGTGGTAAATAAGGGTAGTAATGTTTAGCTTATAAGAGAAGAGTATAAATTTTTTGTTGCTTGCTCATGTAAGAAATGCTGTCTGCATTTACCTTCAGCTGTGTGAATATACAGAAGCCAAAAATTTTGGAGAGACAGCATTAAGATTCTTATTCAGTGTGTTTTAAATCAAAATGGCTCAATAAGGCTTAAATGCCTGTTTGGAAGGAATTTTACTGCAACACCTGTAATGCAGAGGTAACACTGCCAAGGATATAGCAGCATTCCTGATGTCCACCATCTTTGGTGTAGGCAATAGCACCTGTGAAGGTGAAGTAGCTCCATGTTCCTCATATGGCACTGTTACCTTCAGCTTCTGATATGGAATTTGCTATAGGTGGCAGCTAAAGGTTTTGGTCTTGGAGAGAAATCACGTGGATGTGTTGAAAGGAGTGGGAGACGTGAGGAGAGGAAGTCTATTTATATACTCTTCTCTCATCTGGAGAGTGGCAACCTGGTGGTCAATAAATAAAAAAAAATGGCATGTGGTAAACAGTAGATACATTGACCCTTTCATACTGCCAGAAGAGAAATAGAAATAAGAATTGTTCAGTCTTTAATCTCATTTCCTTGATATGTGAGGGGGTACATGTAATTGTTATAGGACCATCAGTGGGATCATATTTCAGAAATTATGTGTGCATTCAACAGAACTTTTCATGAAGTTAGCAGTTCCAGGAAGCTGCTGGTTTTATTGGCTTACAGTGTTCTTCAGTTGCTGTTATGTACGTTAACTGTTGGGTTTCAGCTTTTTCATCTAACTTTTGTTCTGAGTGGGATTTCTGACCAAAGACTTCTAGGCAGTGATCATTTGAAATAACTTAGCTTCTTACAGTTTCTGTCATGACTTATGTTTTTAATATGGATAATTATTGGTCTTTGTTCCCCCAGTGTAAAGATTGGAAAAGTTTTCTGTTACTGTGCTAAGGTGGTTTGGTTTTTTTTTCTGTACTTTTTGCTTGTTTGATTTTTTTTTTTTTTTTAACCCTCCCTCAAGGAATTATTTTACTTTTCTTCAAAGGTGCTGATTTGGTTGCTTCATTCTAAGCTGCTAATATGCTGAAGCTAAATTATTTTATAGAATATTCTGGTCTTTAAGCAAGTTAACAGAACAAATTCTGTAGTTTCTTTCCTCATAAGCTTACAAAAACCTATAGAGTAATATGTATATTCATAGTCTGTAATGTAATAAATAGAAATTATCCAAACAAGCAGCTGAAGCAAATATTCATTTGCATTGTTAATCTTTTTAGATATTTCTGACTGAAAGGTCTGTTTCAAGAGAGATGAATTCAGCTGTGCTGTGTCAAGCAAGAAAATTTTCAGACATTTTAGTCTAGGAATTGTTGCTTAATAAAGTGAATCTTTCCAGTGTAGTAATATTGCATTTAAAATCCTAAATTAAGTTTTCTGTTAATGTTTTTAATTACATTTTAATTAACATTGATAAGGAAATAGATGCTCTCTCTGTAAAACCTTGCTTTTAATTTCACTTCAGTACTACCCCTCCTTACTTCTCCGAGAATCGAAAACTCTGATCATTTCATGATCACTGTGCCCAAGATGACCTCCAGCCACCTCAAGTCCTTCTCTGTTCACAAACAAGAGGTCCAGTGGGGTGCCTTCCCTAGTTGGCTCACTCACCAGCTGTGTCTTCCACACACTCCAGGAACCTCCTAGACTGTTTCCTCTCTTAGAAGTACTAAGTTACAGTCTTTTTTGAGTAATCTGTTGTTAAAGTGACTATGTTCTGGAGTCCTACCACTTAATTTAATGTCTGTGGCTGTAGTTAGGAAAAGGAATATCTTCCTTTGAAGCTGTGTGTAAAAATATTTCTTACATGAAAAAAAAGCTGTGGATCATCTTAAAAAAAATAAAAATTGAAGAATGACTCCCTCCTCCTTAACCCTTTCCTCACCAATTGTCCAAATAGATTTTAACTGGAAGTTTAAAAGAAGCAGAGGAAGAAAAAGGTGCTTTTGAGCATGACATTAACAGTTTTTCTTTATCAAAAATGTTTGAGATGGTTAAGACCAAAGTAAACATAATCAAACCCAGTACAAGGTCTCCTGTAACTTTGTCTGCTCTAAGAGAGTTGCTCCATTTTAAGAACTAGCATGAAGCCATGATAAGAGATGTTGAACCTGAAAACCAGCAAACTTGGCATTTATATGGAGCAGCTGCTCATCATCTTCCTCACTTCATGCTAGCCTGAAAATGGTTTTTGTTCACTGTAGTAAGTTGCAAGTACTTGGGAGCACATTTATTTTCTATTATTTTCTGAATAGTAGGTCAGGTGTTGGAAAGTGAAGAGCACTGCTCCTGCCTCTCCTTAAATATGTCCCTTTTCCTTAGATTTGTTAGAACTTTTGTTGGTATCACAAAACTACTTGGTACCCATTAAAAACTATCAAATTACTAGTGAAATACAGTAAACCTTCTTCTTTTTGTCATTATATCTACCCTTATCCTTCTTTTATTTGCAATCCTATCCCTCAAAAGAGATGAGCGACAGACTGACTGACTGTGGCTATTTTTATACAATGCACATATTAACTGTTGAGTAAATGTAAGAGGTTTTAAAGAGCTTATTTTAGCAGAAGCATTTGTTAAAGCCCCTATATCCATAGGCTGTGCGTATATTCATTAACTATTCAGGGCTGTAACATAATACAACAAAAGGAAGCATATTTTAACAGAGATCTGTAACAACCATACGCAGGCTGGCACCCAGCCAGCGGCTGAAGGCAGACGTTTCTTACAGCTATTTCTAGTCTTGTGGCATCTGGATATATTAAATTTATTTCTCAGATAACAAAACTAGCAAATACTTACTGCAGTGTCATGATCCTGCATTACAAAGATACATTATGTTTGATCCCTAGAAATTTATTGTAATCAAATCTTTGAAGGCAATGGAAAACTGAGCCTCTCCAGTTTCACCACCAGTGTGACAAGATTTATCCTTCATATAATTGCATCCGAAATGGTTTGTGACAACGATGGGAAGAACTGAAGTGCTGACATGAATGGAAAGTGCATAAATATTTAACAGAATATCCTTTCTTATCTGTGGAAAGTCTTGGATTTTTCCCATAGCAGAAGCCTGGGCGGTTTCACTGGTTGGGGATGGGGCAGAGCCTTGGGAGTCCTTTTCCAGCAGTGAACGTGCATCCTTGGAGCACGTCTACATACGGCTTCTGCCAACCACTCCTTCTGAAAGGGGATGGAGATGCTTCAGCTGCTGGTCTACTGTATGCTACCAAATAGCTTCTCTGTCTCAATGTAGCATGAAAATAGGAACTTGTTCCCAGTCCAGTACATTTTGCTGAATTAAAGAATTTTGATAAAGGTAAATGGCAGAGGAGAAGATAAATGAGATATGTAGGAATTTAGTATGGTCAGAGATTGTTTTGTATGTGCATTGTCAATATGATACACCAGCATGTGCTGAAGTGTAAGATTTTTAAGCTTTTACACAGCAGAGAAATGGCTGTTTTCCCCACCAGTGTGTTACCTGGTCAGTGGAATGCTGCTGTTCTGCCCAGCTGCAATGGGATTACTGTTAGTTTTAACCACCTTCCTTCTGTTCTGCAGCATGTTAAGCTAACAACAGATTGTCTGTTTTAAAAGTAAATCACTTTAGTGTGATGCTTTAAATAATACTTTATGTCTCCAGGTCTCTTTCTGGATTAGCATTAGCCTCTTTCTATGTATTTTAATTCCTTTTCCTTTTTTTAATAGCTTGAATGACCTGGGAGGGAAGGTTTAAAAAGAACAAATGCAATTAAAATGGTTTTCTGGGAATTACTTGAGTTTTGTTCCACATGAACAGAAATATTAAAAGCCCATCTAGCAGCTGTGTCAATACCAGTTTTTCTGGTTCTTGAGTAGAGAAATAAATTCAAATGTTGTTTGTTTAAGTAATTCACATTTGTTTTAGGTGAAAAATAAGACCTGGTCTCTTTAGCAAGTGCAATGGTTTAATTTAAGTGATGTAAAAATTGATCACATTGAACTGATTTGAGTGCTTTAAGGGATTTGCAGTTATGTAATTAAATTGATATTTTAAATAGCTTTAAGTGTACTGCCCAGTTGGGAAGTGTGTAAGTGTATTTTCATATAAAACTTTTTGTTTGTTTTTGAGAAAAATGACTGTACTGTGTTTAGAATGTAGTTACAGGCGTATGACGTTGAGTAGATGTGTGGTTCAGGATATACTAGAATACAGGCAAAAATGTTGAAACAGTGACGTTCTGTTTTTCAGGCATATCAATTATTTTGATGTACATAGCAAACATACTTGTAGGAAAAAAATCTCAGAGCTGCAAAATTTTACCATGGATTATCTAGATAAAGAAAAATGCTATTTCTGATGTTATTATTTTATTTAAATAATTAGCAAGTGTTTTCAAATAATGGATTTTGGGGGTTTTTTTTTGCATGTTGGACTGTTGAATTACCTTTTTTCCCTAAGGAAAAAATTCAGTAACCATATTTAATTTACAGAGCACCAGAGATCATACTGGGATTGCCGTTTTGTGAAGCCATAGACATGTGGTCGTTAGGGTGTGTGATTGCAGAGCTGTTTCTTGGATGGCCACTGTACCCAGGAGCACTGGAATATGACCAGGTAGTAGAAAAAATTTTACAAGCATATGCACACTTTTTGCAATTTAAGAATTTCAGATTATTAAATCTAGGTTTTCAAATGTTAATAACATCCCCCATAAGTGGTACTGTTCAGTGCTTTTAATTTAGCCTTATTGATTGTCCTAGAAACATAAATCCTGTTTCTAGACCAAACTGCATACTGTGCTGATTTTCTGAATTAAAGTTCGATTTTATTTTTTTTTTTAATCTTGCAAAATAAATGTTAGTATTCAAGCTGCTTTTTCTGATGGAAAGCAAAGTTTGTGGCCACAATCATTGCATTGTAATCTCTCTTTCACTTGCCATGAATGGGGTTGACTCTGGAATGTCTGTTCAGGTGTCAGGATTAGTTGCCTTCTGAATGCTTCCTGATGCTTTCTGGAAATCCAGCATAGCTGAAAGATTTGAGAGTCTGTACTTCACGAAGAACGAGAATCAGCTGTTGCAATAATAATGTATATATGCAATGGTAAAGCTTGAAGCTGTTGAAGCTGAGCCTTTACTTCGTTTGAGTTTTCAGCTACTGACACCATTGACATTAGTGACCTAACTCTAAAAAAACCCCAAACAACCCCGTTGTTTCTCATGAAAGATGTAGAACATTTTCTATTTAAAACACTTAAGAGAGAAAATTTTTTAATTTTCTAGCATAATATGAAAGGAATATAATTGGCATTCTGACTATACCTGCCTGGTTTTGAACTTTGAAAATGAAGAAACCTGAAAGTCCTAAATATAACAGCACTGGCTTGTTACTAACTTCTGCATCTTTGATTCAGCATTCAGTTTAGGAGCAGTTCCTCCAGCATGCTGTTTAGGTTGTTAAAATCTTGATCTTTGTGTTAAGTGGCCTTTTTGACTTCCTGTGCTTACAGATGAGACCTGCTTTTCTAAAAATCCTTTTGTTAAAACCACTGTCAGGGAATATTTTGATTTTCTTGTGTTGATTTTTGGTAACATTTCATATTTCAGTTTTCTTAATTTACACAAAATTCAGTGTTTCATGGGTAGGAAGTAAGGTATGAGTGGAACATGGGTTGAGACCTTAATGCATTTAGAAGACCTTTGTGCAGGGTGTTGCTGTTAAAATGGAGAACGAAAAGGGAAGAAACTAACAACCATATAATACATTATGTTCTTTCAGGAAAAACTGAAGGCATTTGTTTTTGGAAAGAATCTCTAGTACTGTCTCAAAAATTTCCAAGAACTTGGCAAATTTATTTACTTCTTTGAAAGAAACTGTAGGAGGAGATCTGGACTTCAAAAAAAAGTGCCAAAATACATAATTTCCAGAATTACTTTCACTTTTGCCCCCATACTGCTGTTAAGTAGCTGTTAAAAGGGATGCTGCTGTGGGTGAGGAAGGACCTGTAAGCCCGGTTCACAGTCTTCTGATCATGATCTCACATATAGGGAGATGCAGCTTCTGGATGTGGACCGTGGCTTTGGATGACATTGTCAGTTGCTTACGGTGCAGTAGGGATTTGAATGGTGGAGAATGCTGCCCATGTCCCGATTCTTTCTTCTAATTAACTTGTGATTTGTCATGATGGCAGCAGCCCAGACTGTTAATTAACATGTGCCAACGGGCTCACATAGCTGTGAGCCTCTGACTTTTGTACAGAGGGCAGTAAGTGTAAAGCTCAATCTCATGATTATGAGGATATTTTTTCAGTATAATATGGAGTCTTATTTGAAAAGACCTTTTTTCCCCTGCTGCCGTGCAGCTGTCTTGTCATGTACAAAACCCAGGCAGATGAAGGCAGTTTAATACAGTGTGCAGAGCACCTCCCTTCATAGTGCTCGTTGGCTCATCTTTTCATAATTTTAGACAGCCAGGTCCTTATGACAGCATATTACTGTCACTTGTTTCTTGCCATTGTAGGCCCAGGGCCAACATGGCTCGACCTCTAGATACTGCTGGACAGTGCAAGCAAACAGCATCGTCACCAATGACGGCCACCTTCCAAGGTGCTGTACTTCATGCAAAGAACTACATGGATTAGAGGTTAATCTTGATGCCCATAAGATTTTCTGCTTGCTTTACGAGTGAATATTGAGTTTAAAAGACATTTAGTTAAAGACAGACATATCCGTCAAGTTTGCCGGAAGCATCAGTTAATAACTCATCTAGCAACTTGTCTGATCTTCATGTCAGAGAAGTCGTGGTGGAAGAGGAGCTGTAACCTCTTCTGTACCAGCAGGTTTTCAGGAATTACCTTACTTCAGTCAGCCTGGTCACTGTGCTCAAGCAGGTCTGCAAGACTTGCTTCAGAGAAATTTGATTCAGGGTTTTCCTCAGTGTACACAAGTACAGTAGTTGTAGGAGATGGCTCCCGAGGCAGTTCCTTTCCTCTTGCTCTGTGGTGTGTGTCACTGAGTAAACAAACAGGCAAGGGCTCTGTGCTGCATTTCCCCCTGTCCCCCTGGCATGTGGCAGCCAACATGCTAGCCCTTGAAAGGAAGCTCTTAGTTACTACATTCATTTGTGATTATATCCAGTAACAGCTGTACTTCGCAGTGGAAAATGGCCATGTCTTCTGAGCTTTAGTACTCATTAAAAACAGGCACAGGTGCTCAGCTGCGAAGTTTTTGAATAAATGCATTGTCTTTCCCTTTTTTCTTTATAAGACTTTATAGGACTTTATAATATGCTTAGGAAACAATACATTATGTAGAAAGAGTTCTGGTCAGAGTGAGGATTTTCTTTACTCCCTGATGTAGGGAATTACGGAGGATACCAAATACCAAAAGTTGGCAGCATTGCGTTTAGTTCCTCCCCACTTTGGTCTGTCACTTACGTTTCAGCAGAAGCCTTGCGTGTACCTTGCCTCTCTCCTGCCCATAGATTTTTCTCTTCTCAGGTGCTCCTAGCTCTCAGGTCCTCTATCTTCCATTGAATAAATCTTATCTTCCAGTTTCTAGTTCAGTGTATTTCTCCTTTTGATTTTTTTCCTTTCTTCCATTCTCTCTTATTCCTCGGCACCTCCACCCCTCTGTGGGGGTGTGTGGTGTGGGACCCTGCCCGGTGCCCTTCAGCCCTCACTCCCCTCAGACCTTCAGCCCTGGCTGCTGGATTCCATACTCCCTCCATCCTAACCTACAACAAGCTCAGTTTTCAATTACTGTCAATTATTATTCCAATTTGTCTTTCTTAAAGGTGGTTGGGTCTTTTTTTAAAAAATATTTTTAAAGAAGTATTACTTCTGGGATAACTCCCCCCTTGTCCAGTGAGTTAACATTACATGCACGGTAATTAAGAACACATCATAATGTGTAATTTCAGTAGATTTCTGTTGAAGCCTTGAATCCTATTTTAGGTAATACTTTCTATCACCAACTATAAGAAAGGTAATCAAAACTGCATGGTAAATTATCTTCTAAAATAAATGCATGTCAGTTGTTTCAGTGGAAAACAGCATCTGACCATTTCAGCCATAAAGCTAGTTCCCATCGCATTCACTAGCAGATTTTCTGAGACAAGGACAGATACTTTGCTGATACCTAGAGGTTGTACAGGCACCCCCTTTCCAAGTGGAACATTTCCTTGAAGTGCAGGTGTGTCAGATGTGTAAGACTGATACACTGGAAACAGCAAATGGATTTTTAGAGAGTGGTATAAGAAGAGCATGCCAAAACCACCAGACTTCTGTGTGCAAACAAAGCACTCCTACTGATTTTCTTGTTTAGAATGAAAATACTACGTTTAGGATTTGAATGGGTTGAGGAGGTAATGACAGTCCCTCTCCCCAGCTCATTTCTGTGACCGAACTTGAAAAGCTTGCTTATATAGGTCACTTCAGAGGCTTGTTTATGTATGGCTTTCTCCGAGAGATGGAGAGAGCAGTATCAAGCACTCAGTATTAGGTTTCTCTGTGCAGTTGTCGAACTACAGTGTTCTGAGGATGGTTTGTTGTGCCTTTTTAAAAATGAAATGACAAGTCTTTAACTGTATGGATCAGATTTTGAAAATCAGAGGTAAATTATTTCCCACGTTTGTTTTTTTTTATTTTCTTCCTCAGATTCGTTACATTTCACAGACTCAAGGTTTGCCAGGAGAGCAGTTGTTAAGCATGGGAACGAAAACTGCAAGATTTTTCTGTAGAGAAACGGATGCACCATATTCTAGTTGGAGATTAAAGGTAAGCAGCATAATATAGTAGAAAACAGCTTGTTACTTGGTGAGCAGAGAAGCCAAAGAGACCAAGATTCACTATGATATTGTTAGCTCCCTTCCACATCTCCTGTGATTTTTATCAGTCCCCGCTCTGTATCCCTTCCACTTTTCCCATTCCCCAAAACCACCACTCCAAACTCAGGCCCACGTTTCCCGCTCGCCAGCTGGCCCAGGGCAGGTCTGGTGTGGCTGCCAGGCTGTATCGTGGCTGGGTGGCCAGTGCACGGGTGCCAGGTGGAGAGAGAGCATTGAATTCAAATTAAGCCTTGTATCTCCGGAGATACTAAATGAGTTTGTGTTCTGGTTGGGTTGTTTGTTTTTTTTTCCTCTTACTCGGTCCCTGCTTTTCACTTTGCTTTAAAGAATTTATTTCTGATGCCAAACTGCTCTGTCAAAATTTGTTCAAAAAACTGGCATCAGGACCAGAAGTTCCTAGAAGAAAGGGGATTAAGAAACAATATGACTGTGTACAGCTCATTTCCTTCAGATCTCATGCTAAAACAGTCTTGGGCTGAAAGCTGCAATACAATGAAAGCAGGCAAAATTTTTAAAATCTGCTTTTATGGTCTGCACACCTTCCTTCTCTCTAAGCAACATTACTGCACGCTGGCCGTAAGCAGAGCTTTAACGTCCTATGCAATTATTTTTATGTTTTTAAATTGTACTACTTCATGGCACTGCTTCACCAAAGTTATAGAGGAGTTGGGGAGTCAGGAAATAGTTACATTACAGTTGATATAAAACTTCTGCAGTAACAAACAGCTGAGCAGCTCAAAGCACAAGTTGTGTAACTCTCCCAGTAACTTGGTAAATCCCCGGCGCGGGCGTTGGGCTGTGCGGCTGGGGCCAGCACTGCCCTGCCCTGACGCTGCCGGCCTGCCTTATGTAAGGATTCTCCAATTACACTGTCCTGATTATTCCAGTTTTCTGGTTTTTCAGGCAGTTGATAATTAGGTGACAGTTTATATCTGACTTCTCTGTATCAGAGAACCTAAACGAGTTCTTGATGCAAACAGTGCTCCCCGTTTTCAGAAGCTGTTACCTTTCAGAGGTTAAATCTCTCACAGCTGACTAAATGCTGTTTTGGGGGAAGAAAGGAGTTTTGGTACACACCATTGGTTGTTACCCACAGTTTTTGTCAAACTTAATTTCAGAAACTTTTCTGTAATCTGTATGTTAATTTTTTTTTTCCCTGCAGTCCTGCCTTGCCTCCTACAACATGAACTCTTAAAATAAAACCTGCCTCCTGGTGCTGTCTGTGTTCAAGGAGGAAAATTATACCAGAAAGTAGTATTCCATATTCTTAAATCACCGATAGGTGATCACATTCATTCTCTGGGATTTAATAGTTTGTTTCATACTTCAGTATTTAAAATACTTGCACCAGCCATTGTCTATGCAAAGGAATAAAGTATGAAAATAACAAAAGGAAAGAGAAAGCAAAGAGAAATTGAATAGAACTTGCCTGGTTTTTGGTTTGTTTTTTTACAGTGATATGATGTTGCTGCTGTTTGGAGTTGAAAGTCTCAGTTTGAGGAAATGCGTAAAATATAAGTAACAGAAAACCGGTGATAAATAGAAATACAAGCAGATGAGGGAGTTTTATTAAACAATGTTTTCCTAGGCTTTCAGCACTTCCTGTGTGGTTTACGAACTGTCTGTTGTAATCCAGTACTGTGATCACTCAGACGTGAAATTCAGTATGTTTTGGATTTTGATTTAGAAAATGAAAGTAGTCAACAAAGCAGCATAAAAATATACAATTGAAATATTAATTATTTTTTAAAAAAACCTGTTTATTAGGCCAATAAATATGTAAAGTTACTTTGTATCTATAAGTGTCCTTTATTGTCAACTTCTAAACTCAACTTTCCTTTTCTTTTTTGAGACATTGGAAGAGCACGAGGCAGAGACAGGTATGAAGTCTAAAGAGGCCAGAAAGTATATTTTCAACAGTTTGGATGATATAGTGCACGTGAGTATTAAAGCATTCTTCCTTTGCTAAAGGAATGTGTGATTTTAAAACATTTTACTCATTTGAAATAAACACCTTTTAGAGTATTCTTTACTGTGTATCAGTCCCATCCATTATTCTCTGTGAATGATGCTCTGAGGAAAATGTCTAGCTGTGTCGGTCCTTTTGGCTTTTTATAAAGATCTTTTGTCATTGCCTATGTGAAACAATAGTACTTGTCCTTGTGGTGGGGAATTCTTTAATTTTATGTATACTGTATACTTTCTTTTTTACTTTATCTGCCATTCTGGGTAAAAAAAGAATGCATATGGATCCTGCTATCTTAACTATTTAATTTCCAGTATAATTCTGCTTTCTTAGCAATATAATTCTCAATGTAATTATTTTTCTTTTTTTTTTTTTAAAAAAAAAAAACCCAAACTTAACTGTTTCTGCAGTTTTCTTTAGCTTTCTAACTCTCTAGTCAATAACAAAAGGAAATTTTTGAAGAGCATACCCTGAAAAGAGGATCAAATTTTTTTGCAAGATTGACATTAATATATGTTTGAAAATCTTTTTTGAAAATTACCTCTGTAGTTTAAATTAGACCATATAAAGATCTTTATTCCAAATCTTAGTTTTTAAATTGCAAGTCCCAGACTAGAATAAAGCCTTTTGGGGGTTTTTAGCTGAGTAGGGTACAGGGGGAGTAGTGTGTGTGCTGAAAAAAGTCACCAATTCCATGCTGACCATACTGGGATAAGCTGGCAGATTCAGCTTGCCCCACATGATCAAATCACTGAGTATTAGTATTCTGTAGCAGAAAGCAGTAACAGAAAGAATTAAATCAATATGCATGTCTTCTATCTGACTCTCTTGTTCATCGTCAGGTGAACATGGTGATGGATTTGGAAGGAAGTGACCTGTTGGCAGAGAAGGCAGATAGGAGGGAATTTGTCAGTCTGTTGAAGAAAATGTTGCTGATCGATGCTGATTTAAGAATCACTCCAGCTGAGACCCTGAACCATTCTTTTGTTACCATGAAGCACCTCCTTGATTTTCCTCATAGCAACCAGTATGTAACACACACAAAATATTTTTTAAAATCTCTATTGTAGTGATTCATGTGTATAATAGTGTTGTTTCATCTGCTATCAGAGAGAAAAATCCTGTGTCATTTTTGTAACAAGTTAGGGAATTCTTTTAAGTGCTTGCAATATTAGATACATCTGCTTGGTCAGGAAACTGAGTAACTATGACTTGTTTCTGAAAAGTAACATTTTGAACAATAGATTTCTCAGTTATCATTTATATGTCTGGTTGATAAAATTCCAACACTGCAGAAATTTGGCTTGATTTTTGGAAGCATGAAGAGCCTTAGTTCCTGTCAGTCACTGAGAGTTAGGGTAGACATTTCCTCTGAAGTGAACATCTCAGATACCTTCTTTTATGAATTAATTGATGTGGAATATATTAGAAATTTTCTTGCAGTTCTAGAATTCTGTATTTCACTGTGGATTTCCTAAAGTGCAAGTATTTCACTGAAAGAAAGAGCTTTCCATCCATTTAGTTTGCTGTCCTTCCTGCTTGTGTGCAGTTGTTAGAAAATGGTGTTAGATGCGAGGAGCAGAAAATAGCAGTGTTTTTCTTCATTTTAAAATATGCATTACTAAGGCTTGACACGAACACAGTAATAGCAGTATTTATTTTTTTTCTACTTCGTGTATAATGCCATTCTGTGAAACTGGGGAATCATTTGAATGATTTTTTTCTTCTGGGGATTTGTTTTCTACATTTAACAACATGAAATTTTAATCAAAGCAACTTATTTTTCTGGTTTTGATAGAGTGAAGTCCTGTTTTCATATCATGGATATTTGCAAATGCAGATCAAATTTGTATGACTTAAGTAATCGCAATAAAACATCACTTATGAGACCAGTTGCCTCAGGCAGTGCAGCTAATCTGACTGCGAGCTTTACCAAAATTGCTCCAGTAAGAAGTCAGGTAAGACCTTTTTTTTTTTTTTTTTAAATATGAATTCAGTTAATGCAGTTTCTATAATTTCATAATTGAAAAAAGTACATCTGTGACAAAAAGTGACAAATTCTTCTGTCTTTTACTCTCATTTTTTCCCTAGTGTTGTGTTAAACAAACAAAACATTTAGAATTCAGTATGTTTCAGAACCAAGTTTCAGGCAGCAAAGCAGTGCTGTGTTGTAGCGCCCTCCAGTGGCCAAACGGGATTGCGTCCTGTGAAATGCATTTGAAATTTTGATTTTTATGAGTTATTTTAGTTGTTTATTATATAAGCTGCTGGGATAAATGTGTGAGAGATTTAGATTGACAGTTATAATGTTACTTGTATTGAATCTGTTCCCATAGGCGTTAACTGCATCTGCCCATTCAGTTTTGCACCAAGGGATACCACTGCAGGCAGGAACTGCTCAGTTTGGTTGCAGTGATGTTTTCCAACAGGCATTGATTATATGTCCTCCAGCTATTCAAGGTACGTTTGACTGTAATTGTTACAGTTCCTGAAATGAGTGTTACTGTCTGTCTGTTAGCAGTATTTGAGTTTTCCATTGTATCCACTTCAGCTATATATTTAAAATAATTTAATTACATAATACAAAAGTTAACTTTTTTTTTTTTAAAGTAATATCCAGGTACATTGCACCTTTCTGAAAGAAACAGCAAATCAGTATCTGCAGGAAATCCACAGCCCATCTTTGTATACCACACACACGCATATATGTGTATAGATATATTTATATATGTGTGTATGTATATGTATGTATCTTAGACAGATGGACACAATGTGGAAGCTGAAACAAGAAAGGAGAGTATTCTGCAATAAAATCTGAGAGGAAACCAGAAAAATTAGGGGAATATCAGTGTTGCTTGGTGGTGTGCTTTTTTTGTTTCTTTTTTGGTGGTTGTGTGTGTTGGGGTTTGTTTGTTGGGTCAGTTGTGGTGTTCGCTTGGTTCTTTTTTGGTTTGGTTTTGTTTTGTTTTTCCCCAACTTCATTCCTAGGATATGCTAGGGATAAGGATAAGAAAATATAGCAGTTCTTGTGATAAATCTGTCTGGATAATAAAGTTGAGGTTATTTTATTGGACTTCCAAGTGAATGTTTAAGAAAACATCTGGAAACCTGAGGCTTCATTTAAGAATGTAGGTGCCCTGCATAAACAGTTTCACATTTACTGGTTATAATGCTAGATAGAACTGCCACAGCTTTCTGGTGGTGGAAGAGCTAGATCTTTGAGAATGTTGATTGCTGTGAGGAGGAAAGGGCAGCTTGGCTGAACTCTCCTGTATTAGAAAAGATAGAATCATTTTAAGCATACAGTTTTGTATTTATGGAAAGAAATAATTGGCTGAGGGTTCAAGTATCAGAAGCATTTGGAAGACTGCAAGGTGGAAATAGCATGGAAGTATTTCCACAGTATGGAAAATGCCCAAATAAGCATATGCATCTCTAGAAAGGCACACGGTAATGCAATTGACCTCTGTTTCCCTAAACAAATGCATTTGCATCGTGCAAATGTAGGTCCTGGTTTTTTGGAAGAGTCTTTAAAACTTCAGTTAGATCTCTGAACTTATCAAGCAAAACTCATTTTTCTGTTCATAATGGGCTGATCAGAGAGGCGCTAATGAAAACCAGCTTTTCTTATCCTAGTAATACCTATTTATGGACAGGGAAAGGTAGCTTATATTGTTTGCTTATTAAGTTAGCTTGATTATAGTCTTCAACTCCAAAGACGTGATTTATCTGTCTTGGTGATGTTCAGCTTTATGTTGAGATCAGGTCTTGAAATGATGGAGTTTATAAGAGGTAGTTTTTTTAAAGAATCCCTTTCAGACTCCTCCTTAGATCTCCCTCCGCAGTTTCAAGTTATAGAAATCACACTAGATTCACTCTGGAAAGATAAAAAACACCAAAGCACTTTAAACCTAAACTTAGAGGGCAGGAAGTCTTTATCCTTTTAGATAAGGACAGATACGTGAGACTTTATCAGTAATGTTATTTGTGGCTGCTGCATCTGTCTTGGGTTCCAGAAACTCGTGAAAGCTCCAACTGTTCATGCAGAGTGTCAGTGGCTATATGAGCTAAATGCATAGCTTCATACAGATTTCCTTCTGAGCACTTAGTATGGCTAAGTAATTTCTTATTTAACTTGTATATATGCTTTACACAGTGACATATTGCATAATTTCAAAACCCTGCTGTTTTGATTATACCCAGATGAATAAAGTGATTATAGAAAAGGAAACAGTACAGGCAAATACTTTATCTGTGATCTGTATACTGTGTTCTTAGTATGAGGATAAATTTCTAAATTTAAGTTCTACTACAGCTTGAATGAAGGGAATATATTGTTTTCATCACATTGGTGACAAGTTGAGTTGCTGGCATGGAGAGAAAGGGATATTAATGGTATCTGGCACTGCTTCAAGGTTTCCCTGCTTGGCTGCTCTGTCAGATATCTGAAGTGCTAAAGCTCTCTGCTTCTGGCAGAGTTAAGATGTTGCTGCTCTAGATGACTGAGTGGAAAAAATTAGTCAACAGCATATCAAAATTAAAAGCTTTGGACTGCATAGTTGTAACTTAGCATTGTGTTATAACATGAGAGGATTACATCAGATGAAGGTTTTTCTTTTATTGTAAAGATACTTAAAAAGCCCCACGTTTAATCTTGAATAGTTCTTTAGTAGTTGCCTCTGAACACCCGTTGCTTAATCTTTGCCTAAAGCACAAGACACAAAGTGCAGTTAGAAGGTGAAATCAGTATATTTGCCCAGCCAGTATTTCCTTCTAGCATAGCTGTTCTGTTGAAGTACTGGTTGAAAAATTTTTTTCTTTCATTTTAGTTTAACATTTTTATCTTAAAAATATTATTCGTAGTAAAGATTGCAGTGTGGTATACCTGTTAGTTTCCTGTGACAATAATAAAATCTATGTAGAGCATGAGATGCATCTTTTTCCTACTATGCTCTTGTGGTAATATTCCAACAGTTCTACAGTTTGCATTATTTTGATGAAGGGAGAAATAGGGTTATGGATTCTACTGCAAAGATCTGATGACATACACAGAAAATTTTACATTGTTTCTCACAAAGGAGATGGCAACAAATAGGGGCATTAAACATGTGGCATTGCCAGCGATAAAAGCTAAGAGGAATGGGTTTACAGAGCATGAGATGTGCAGGAGTCAGTTGTGAGCAGCTTTGAAATTCAGTTCTGCTTACTTTTGTCTGCTTCCTTTCAAATACTTTTAATGTAATTTCTGATAAAGAGTAAATGCTTAGCTTTGCAGAACTTTCTGCCAAAGTCATTCTGCTTTCTAGTAGTCTGTTTCCAAATAGTAGCTATTGGCAGTTCTTTCTGGAAATTACAGCATCAAATATTTGTGCAGATAAGTAATGGCAAAAAATATCTTTTAGGTGTTCATTTATTTGGCTTGAATGTCTAGATTATGGAATTAGATCATAAACACATCAAGAAAAAATAGTAAAATGTGACAAAATTATCCTTTATGTTTGCGTTTTGCTCAGAAAATATATTATGCGAGACTAGTGGTTTGCTTAAAGCTTGGGTATGTGTTTTTCTCCCTGATAGGAATTCCTACAAACCATAGTAAACCCACCAGTTTCTCCCTGAGGGTGGATAATGCAGTTCCGTTGGTGACCCAAGCCCACACAATTCAGCCACTACAGATTCGAGCAGGAATCCTTTCTCAGGTTGGCTTACTTTAAAGTAAAAATCTGATTTGTTTTATTGTTAGTAAATATTGTTTCCCTGTAGAGTTCTATTGCAGCCCCTCTCTGTTTTGTGCTCAACTACAAGCAGATAGTGTCAGTTCAGTTGTTCCGTGTGTCATGAAATCTTCTCTGCTTCACAACAGACATGGTCAAATCAGACCCAGCAAATACTGGTTCCTGCGTGGCAGCAAGTAGCGCCAGTGGCAGCTCCTGCTACATCTCTGGCCTCTGATCCTGTGGCTGGCCCACAGAGGCTTGGAGACTGGGGGTAAGTCCACCTATTTTTGTGCAATACCCTAATGGCTTTGGTTTGACAAGATCTGTGGATTTGATGCAAATGACTTGCAATTTGAAACTGCCTTTTATTGTTCCTCAGGAAGATGATTACCCAGGGCACCCATTACAATTCAATGATACCGCAGCCTCTTTTAACACATCAGATAACCTTGTCTGCCCCTCAGCCAATTAGCGTGGGCATTGCACATGTTGTCTGGCCTCAGCCTGCAGCTACCAAGAGGAACAAACTGTGTCAGAACAGGTTGGTAGAATATTTCTAACATTCAAAAATAGCTTATCTGTAGTTGCTGTTCAGTGGGCAAGGGAATAGCCTGTAAAAGTGGCATGTTTGTTAGTGACAATTGTACTTAAATGGTCTTTTGGGAAAATTTGTTGATAATGCCCTAAGTTTTTGTGTTATTTTGGTAATAAAGACTAGATGGAAAAATACTTGTGATAGTAAGAGGTTTTGGTTCCTGTTGATTAGCATGTGCCTAAGAGAATAGCAAAGGTTTCTTTGTAGCGTTTGGGAAGGTATCAGAATCTATTGAGGTAGCTCTAATGAGATACTCCTAAGCTTATGTGGATGAGGATATATCAGGTTTAGACAACTAAAAATAAAGAGATACTATATAGCAGGGTTGCAGCGTGCCTTACAGTTGTCTTAAGGATGGTCTTTGTTTCACTGATGGCCAAAAATACTTTAAGTGCTTGCTGAAGAAAATATGCCCTGCTGCCATACAGAGTATTTGTCAAGGTGTGGGATGCTCAATAAAGGGGAAAGTGTGGGTTACAAAGCACAGCTTCAGCAGTCTTGTATTAAGCAAGGATTTCATCCAGAGGCTGCCAGCTTTTGTTTGCAGGGAGAATCTCTACAGCAAATCTGACCAGGTTTTGTTTGCTTGTTTTTTTCCCAAATGGGATTTTCAGTGTATTGTATTAAAATTGTTGCAAATTTCAGTCTTAGATATTATGTAGTTTGGATTTTTTAATTAATGTCTGAAATAATCTGTGCAAAGTATTTATGAGTGTGTGTACTGTTTTATGGTTTTCTTTGTATTAGTTTAGAAAATTGGTGGTTTAGTCTACATTGCTTTCTTTGTTTTCATTGAAAATAGTACAGTTTTCAGGTCTGTTGGTAGAGATACACTAAATGTCAAATGGTTTGTTTTCTTCACAGGAGCAATGTGTTACAAAATACCAATATCCAAAATTCAGCCTTTATCTCTCCAAAGATACTTAACCTGAAGGCTGTAAAAAGAATAAGTTGTATAGAAGCACAGGACAATCATAACTCAGAAGGACAGGAAAGTAACTGTTGTGAAGCATCGGTCAGGCTGGACCCTGATTCATCTCTTTCAACCAAACAGCGCCAGGCTATCTTCATTGCCAGTTCCCCCAGCCCAACAGTCAGCGTGATCACCATCAGCAGTGACACAGATGAAGATGACATAGGACGGACTCATTCACTGAGAGAGTAAGAATTAATGTTTACTTTTATTCCGGTGTTATTAAATATAGCTGTCTCAGCATAGCTACTCTATTTCATGAATCTGAGTTAGAAAAAGACAAACTTCTAATCGAATTTCACTCAGAAGTTAACTCTGTAGCAGTGTATTATTTGCAAGTGAAAAATACTTTTCAAAAGTCTGCCTCATTAATCTATGTACGTTAGGCATTTGCAATAGGAAACAAATAATTTATTACTCTTTTGTAACAGGTTTGTTCAAAACACAATACTTGTAGATCCAGCATACTTTTTTTTACTTAATACTGTCATACCCTGTTTATTGAAGATCAGTTTTCTGGCCTTGTATAACCAATGTTATCATTCTAGCAGTAGCATCCAGTAGATAACATTACATACATAAGGGTAAAAAGTACTTCTCTAGCAGTATGAAGAGGTGCGCATGTGGGTGTAAAAGAAGATGCTGAGCGTGGTCCCCCAAAGGAGCTTTCTTTCACAAAGCTATCAAAGCAGCATGTATCATTTGAAACGGGGGCTCAAGAGGTTTAATGTTTGTTTGACTTTATTTGCACTTGTAATGATTCTCAACTGGAGGAACTTGTATTTTAAATCTAAACTTTGTCAGATGTTTCAAACCTCTGAACTGTTATAGTAAATTCTTTTATCTGCTTGTTTTAGTACTGATTCAGTAAAAAGTGTATTCATCTAATAGAATTCAAAAAATGCATGTGTAGTCTAGAATTTCCAAAAGAACTCTGAAAAGGTTTAAAAATCTGTTCTGGATGTAAAAGAAACAAGGAATTGGATATTAATTTACATTTAAAGGACGTTTTCTAATAAGTGGCCACTTTTTATTCCATAATTTCACTTAAGTCAGTGGCATGCAGAAGGAACAAATGAGAGATGGCATGTTTGCTCACTTTCTGTTTGTGTTGCAGGTGCAAAGGCAGCCTGGACTGTGAAGCCTGCCAGAACACCCTGGACATTGACCGTGTGTGTTCTCTGAGCAGCCCTGATAGCACCCTGAGTACTAGCTCCTCAGGCCAGTCTAGTCCATCTCCTTGCAAGAGATCCAACAGGTGAAAAGCTGTGCTTCTTTCAGTAGAAAGGAAGATCCTAGCATAGAGCAGACTTGGTTTATTTAAAAAAAAAAAAAAAGTGAAAGTTTTGTTCTGTTGCCATCTGGTGAGGCTGAATGATGTGTTTAAAAATTAATTTATTGGCTTACAGTTGCACAGCGTAGAATATTCTTTCATTGTTCCAAGCAGATCCATCTTGCGACATTGGAAGTTTTCAGAATACTGAATGAATGGTGTTTAAACAGGAAATATAAACATGTTATGTGAAACTTCCTTTAGAACAAAAATCTTCTGAGGTTGCAAAATTAAGTAAGCCAAAGTAGGATGTGACAGATTTGAACTTACCAGAACACCTTTAATTTTTTCACCCTCTTTTTCTCCCATTATGTATCTTGCATTGTAAATTTTAATGATATTCATGCCTTTTTTTCTTCTACCAAACCTAAGCTTCACTTAGGTGAACACTGTTCATATGAGCAGCTTTTAAATATTTTTGTCTTCGCTGCTTGATATCTGCTTATGTTGTTTTTGCACATTATTCAAAATTCCCTCTTAGAAAAACATTCAACATCTTTGTAGCCCTTTTCTTTTTCTGATACAAGCATGGAGCTTCTTATTATGAGTTGGTTTCTCCACCTCTTTCCCCTTCCAGCTGCTTTGGTCAAAGCAGTGGTTGAATAAATGAGTTTGCACCACCTGACCACCATGGATTTCACAGACCACAAGTGCCAAAAGAGCCCCCGTCTTGTGTTTGTCTCCTTAATCTAAATCTGTGAAAAAGAATCTATTGGTCGGGCACAGGCAGTGCTCTCTGCAGGGGCTTCAGGGAGACCTAATTTTTCAGTAGATGAGGTCTCAGGTAGCTGCTGGTGGTTGATGTGCAGATGAGAGGGAGCTGCCTGCTACTGAGCAGATTGCTTCCTCAGTGCTCTCTGTCCCATCCTGAATCTCATGGGCCCCAGGGACGGCTTTTCGCAGGCTTCGGGATATGGCTGATTTCTGGAAGGAAATTAGATCAGTATATGCTCATTTGCTGCTGTAATAAGTATCAGGAGACCTTTATGTTTTGATTCAAGAAGAAACAAAATAATCCTCTTTAACCTTTTATTTGACCTAAAAATCTAAATTTCAAGTGGTTTATAAGTACAAGTTTTATTTTAAAAATCCATTTATTTATTTATTTTAAAAATTTTATTTAAAAAATAAATTACAAAGTGGGTACAAGTTGGGTTACACATCTAAGTCTTTGTTATCTCCTTTCTCTGAGCCTTGCAATTTATGAGTAGAATGAGTTCGAATATTGAACTGCCATCTGAATGCCTCTGCTTGTATAATTAAATTGTAGCATTTTTATCCACCTTTGAGTAGTTTCACTTCCATAAATTTTATGTGATAGTTTAATAAAATGCATCTATATTATGAAAATGTATGTGTTTCTGTGATTCTGTGTTTCAATGCAATACTTTTATTTTTTGATAGTATGTCAGATGATGAACAGGAAAGTGGATGTGATACAGTGGATGGTTCCCCAACTTCAGACTCTTCAGGACATGACAGCCCATTTGTGGAAAATGCCTTTGTAGCTAATACCAATAAAAATAAGGAAGCAAGAGCATCGGTTAATCCTGAAACCAAATCAGCTGTTTGCACTGTAGTGGTACCACCAATGAGACTTGAAAACAGGTTACATCTTGATGAACAGATGGTGAATACAGGTAAGTTAGTTCAGGTGTTGTTTTCTTTCTATACTAGTAGATAAGAATAAAAGTTTGAATATTTATTCAATAGCCATACATATGAAGATCTTGACCCCCTCATATATCTGCTAATCTGTAATAAACCCTTCATAATTGTGTTGCTTTTTGACTTTAATTAGTGTATTATTTTATTATTTCTCCCTGTATGCTGAAGCAAATGCAACTTTGTCTAACTTTTGTTAGAAGAGAATAATGAGCACTAAAACATAACATTGTTCATTTATATCTTGGAAGATGCTACGTGCCAGCCACTGAAAAAGGGTCGATCTGTCCTGGGCAGAATAAACCGGTCTTCTGTCGTAGGAAACCGTCAGCAAAAATTGACATCAGCATTCCATCAGCAACATGTAAACTTTGGTCAGGTATGTGTACTTACTCACGTGGAAGAAGTCATGTTTCTAGCTTGAGGTTCCAAACATGCTGAATGCTCACAATTTCAATGGCTGTCAATGGCAACTGTGAGTGTTCAGCAGTTTGATTACAGAAGTGTTAAAATCTTGAAACATGGATTTCAACTTACTGCGCAAGTCATAAGTATCTTTCACTTTTGGTCATTTTCTTAAAGCAGCCAACTTTATTTTTGTAAATTATAGAAAAGCCACTCTGGGAAAGTTATCCATGCCTACACAAAATCAAAGCACAAGACAAAATGAAAAATATATTGGCATATTTTTTTTTCCTGCATCCAAATGCTAAAATGCTCATAGTGGCAGATAAAAACTGCGGCTCTAGTTCACTCTTGTTCTGTTAGTATTGTGCATGAAAATGCTTGTAGTTTGAGTATCCAGAGATGAGATGGAGCTTAGCAAACACAACTTGTTTCTCACCTTTGCTGCCAGGCAGTGAAGCTGGGGGAGGAAGAGGTTGTGATTGTAGTTCAATCCAGTGTTGGAAGATACCAGATGTTAATTTAAAAGCTACTTTTATGATTACCCAACAACATAGTACATGTCCGCTGTGGCTGAGAGCTGAAGTTGACACATGAAATCAAGTTTAAGCCCCTTGTAATTAATTTTGAGCTGTAGCTGCATTGAGCTTTTGGTTAGATACTTGGAGGTACATTTAATAGAAGAGCAGCACCTGTTTGTGAAAGTCTTGCCGAGTAACCGTGGGTATGAAATGATAAGTTACGTACTAAAAGTGAGTAGGCTGTATGTAGATAAGAGGATTTACCAATAATGACTTGAATAGTTTAGCTAGAAAGAAACATTTTGATTGGTGACACAGTCTCCCCCTCTTCATGATTATGCAGAAGGATTGGTTTAATTAATTCTAAGCAAACCTTAATATGATCAGCATAGTATGAATTTTTAATCTCTTCAGTGACTTCAGCTCCTCAGCCTGTTGGCAGAAAGTGTAGAATGTCATTTTCCTTACAAAAAATTATGCTGATCCTTCCTTCTTTGGTAGTTGCCCTATGTGGTTTGAAGTGTGCATCGCTTAATGGGAGTAATTGATTCTTAGTCTTTCTCATTATAACTGTTAATGATTGCCACATCTTCCTGTGATCAGAGCCCTAGACTTGACTTCTGTTTGCCTTGTTGTCTCAGATATTTTCTATCCGTTTATTATTTTTTCTGCTCTCCTCTAAAATTTCTCTCCTATTTGTCCTCTTTGTGCCTCATTATGGTGCCCAAACTGAATGCAGCACTTCCAATTGATGACAAGCCAGTGCTGAGTAGAGTGGAATAAGCACCTTGCTCATGTGACACATGGTATTTCTGTTAAAACAGCCCAGCATGGCATTTTATCCTTTTTTTTTTTTTTTTTTTTTTTGCAAGAGCATTAACATAACTTGTGTTGTTTGCCATCTCTTATTGTCAGATTTCCTGTCTGTGCTACTATCCGAATAGCTAATATTTTTTTTGTTTAAGCATTTAATAATTCCTGTCTCTATTTATCTCTTGATTTTAAGTTGACTAGTTTTAGCGCGTTATTCCATTTTTCAAACTCTCTTTATACTTAGAAATATTAAGACTTGCCCATTTCTGTGTGTGGACAGGTTCAGCACTTTGGATCTGGGCTGCAGGAATGGAATGGAAACTACGCTCACCGGAGGCAGCAGGCTTACATCCCAGCCAGTGTCGCCAGCCACGCTTTCTCCCTTCCCCAAGGAAGTCCAAACCACACTACCGTGCACGCGCATCTCTCTGGAAGTACCCACCTTGGAGGACAGCCTGCTATTCTTCCGTACCCGTCGTCGGCACCCCTTAGTACTGCTGCACCCGTTGCCCACCTCCTTGCCTCGCCATGTACCTCAAGACCTTTGTTACAACATCCAACCTACAATATATCTCATCCCAGTGGTATAGTACACCAAGTTCCAGTTGGCATAAATCCCCGTCTCTTACCTTCCCCAACCATTCATCAGACTCAATACAAACCAATTTTCCCACCACATTCGTACATTGCAGCATCACCTGCTTACACAGGATTTCCATTGAGTCCAACAAAACTCAGCCAGTATCCATTTATGTGAGAACTCAAACACAGTATATTGAGGAAACTCAATGATACAGAAGTTTGATTTAAGAAGAAACATGGTATTTATTAAATATTAGCCATGGCACAACAGGAAAATTATTTTTTTGAATCATGTAGACTTGGGTGCAATTTAAACAACTCTGAGCTTTAAAAAAACTCACTTTTAATGTGTTTTGCACATTTGGTATAACTTGTCTTTGGTCATGTTATCTTCTTATATAGTAACTTTAGACAGGTGACTTACGGGAGCAGAAATCTGGTTTTGCTCCTGCTATTTTTTATAAAATTGCCTTCTAACTAGTGCAAGACACGTCTACATTTGGGAAGCCATTCAGTGTACAGAACTAGAGCAACAGATGCACATACGTCAGCAGTACAGTGTAGAAGTAACTTGTTTGTATTGCGTATCTTGGTGTTTCAATGTTGAGTCACTTATCTAAAAGTTGAGCGGTTGTTCTTCACATTGCATGTGTCTTTTGCATGGGCAAAAAAAAAAAAGGCCTAAACATTGCTCTTAAATGTTGTTGTCCTGATAATCTCAGCTGCATTGTAAACTGTTCCCACACATAGTGCCTTAAATATTTGAGGTTGTTAATGTTATTACTTATATATAAATGTTGAGGACTGCAGCACTTAAAAATTCAGATCTGCTGATTTTTTGATAGCGTAATGCTCATTTTGGGTTTTGTGTGGTATGATTTTAGTATCGGGTGTGTTTTCCTTCCTGAGAAGGCAGCATGTTTTGCTGTAGCTGAATTTTGCTGTCTTTTTTCCCCCTCAGAATGATCTAGCTTCAAGACAAGACTTTAGTAGTGCTTAAGAAAAGTTGATTCAGTAGCTATTGAGTAGTGACACACAACACAGTGTTTCATACTGGTAAATGGAACTGCAATACAACCTAAATAGTTTATTTTAAAAGTGTTTGTCTAATTGGGTATAATAAAATGTTTAGAGGTGCGGTAGGCATGACTGACTAGCTAGTGAAAGAAAAAGCCAAGTGCTCATTGATCCATGATGTGGTTTCATCTTAGCTTGAGCAAACCATGCAGTATTTAATATCTAGTAGCAGAATATTTACTATTGAAGCTTGAAAAGATGTGAGTTCTTTGTGTGCAATCTTTCATTTATGCATGGGAGAGATTTTAGTCTTTTTACATTATAGTATTTGTTTCAGCCTGTTGCGGGTGTTTGCTTTATTTAATACATTCCGTCAGGGACATAAATTACATGCTTTTTGCATTATTTTTTTCCTTAGGAAGTGTGTCTTTTTTTGTGTGTGGTTTTTTTTTTTTTTGTTTTGTTCAAATGAAGTTGCTTTTGCAGCACCAAAGACTTAATCATCCATTTCCTATAAAAGGTAGCTACTTTTTCATAGACCTCAAGTATACTGTAGTGTAGAGATGGGATTTACAGAAGGTATTAAGCTGAGGCTGTGTTTTAGCTTATGGGCAAGTAATAAATTGTATCATTTATCTTGAATGTATCATAGATAAGCTGCTATATAATGATTGCCACTTCAGATAGCTGTGAAATTAGGTGATTAACTAGTTCTTTCTTAGCCTTCTAATTTCTGTACAAGTCTAATTACATGAAATAGAAGCCGGGTTTTGGGTTTGTTTTTTTGGGTTTGTTTTTTTTTTTTTTTTTAATTTTGGGTTTTTTAAAATTCTGTTTTCATGTTTGAAGTGTCGTAACTACTATACTGTAAATGATGGAAAATGATTGCATATGTTTTTTTGGGGTGTGTTATTTGCATCAGTATTTTATCTCCATTAACTTTGAGCTCATCACTGCATATAAGTGGATGTATTGATGTAACTTAATTTTTTTATGTTTTCATATTGGCATTGTGTAGACACTTAAGAAGCTGCATCTTGCGGGCTTGACTTAACTTTTTTTTAAAACAAAATCTGGAATACAATCCTTGCAATGTTGACTGGAATAAGTGTGCAAAACATTTGAGTTTAACTCTGTCAATAAGCTAATAACTGGTAATCTTTTTTCTTTACTCCACTAACACAAGCAGTGTTTTATTTAATGAATGTCTGAATGAAATAAATGTGCCTACATTTGATTTATTTTTTAAGTAATAACTAAAATAAATCAGTATTAGATCTTAAAAAATAAGAAAAATACCAGCAGTACATTTTTAATCACACTGAAAATTAAGAAACCTAACTTTTCCCAAGAGTTTCAGTGTTTTTAGTAATCAACTCTATGCATTTTGTACAAGTGTGTGTATATAAAGTATACATTAGAAACTAGGAGTATCCTGATGAATTTGAAATCTTATCAACACATCTATAAAGCCTAAATATAGGGAGTCAAGCAAATGCTCAAATTGGATATCCACCGTACCACTTCAAACTTGTGCTATATGGTCCAGCAGATAGTTTTCTGTTCACTCCCTCGTGCTGGAAAGCGATGATTTTTGGTGCTTACTCCATTGCAGGCAATGGACACACCAGAAACCACCAATGCAAATGGAGTAAATGAATTTTGTATTGTGATAACAAAAAAATCCTGCATTTTTTTCCTGGGGCCACGGGGATTGTCATTGGTCTAATGTATTTACTGTTCTTTCTTTTTACTGTGCTTCAGGTTTTAAGCTAACGTGCTTGTTAAATTGACACGATTATCTGTATATCACAACAGTCTCCTATCGTATGCAGGAAAAAGTTGCTGTAAATGCGCCCCAAATGAGATCTGCTGCTCTTTCTCTGTGTTGTAACTCTAGAAATGTCTGCATTTCAAAGAATGACATATTTGGGATCCCGCCACAGCTTAAATTCAATATACCGGGTGACTTTTCCCCCATCCTGCAGTACGCCCGGAGAGAACGGACTCTTGTCACTGCAAGTGTCCAGGACCCATCTGCAGAAAAAAAAAACAACTTTCAGGGCAAGGGCCTTTTCTGTGAAAAAAAAGTCATCCTCTGAAAAGCATTTATACATGTTACCATTTTAATGCCTTTTTTAAATAAAACACTGCATGACTATGGAATTGCATATCTGCATATTACTTTAATTTGCAAGATTTTATATGAATTTCTTGTGTTCAGTTTTTAACTTTACTTCAGGGTGTTTTATTGGTCAAATATGCTACTGTATTAACTTTTTTTGATTTTGATTTTTAAATTTTCTGTTTTTACTGCTAATTAACTTGGTTTGTGTTAAGTAAAAGTTAAATCACACTGCAAGCTGTAGGAAGACTTGTTCTAGAAATACCCAGTGATAGAGACTTGATTAATAAGTTTGAACTGTTACTGTTTAACAATTTGTAGACTTGTGGCTTTTTTTTTTTGCTTTGGATTTCTATGCTACACTAGTTCGCCATGTAGCAATTGCACTGTGCAATATTACAATATGAGGACTGGGAAAATTTTTTATGGATGTAATGTCTCTTACAGTTTGCGATAGTATTTCTTTCTAGTTCTCAGTGATTTAAATGTGACCAAGCCTTCTGTACTTTGTCACAAAAAGCGGGTTTTCCAGGTGACTATTTTGGTGAGTGTCAAAATAAGAATTTATGGTGTATTACTGTCGAGATTCACTTTGAATTAAAATATATATTGCAGCAGATGACTTCTGGTGGCTTTCCTTTTTTGCTGTGTTATATCAAGGCTGGATTAAGGTAAAGGCGATGAAAATTCATGGGAAGGGCTCTAAAATTCTGTTATAATCATTTGACTAAGCTGCTCTTCTTTCTGAAATTTTAAATTTTATTAACTTTCAAGGTTTGCTTTTAGGATGATCTTAAGAATCTGCCTTTAATGTAGCCAAACCTTGAAGGTCCTTTGTTCTGGTTGTCCCACTTTTACAACCTTAGGAAAAGGTCATCTGGCCCAGATAATGGCAGATACATCACTGCTGCTGAAGGTTGGTCCCCAGCCCATGGCAACTGCTGCTTGGCCAGCAGGAAGGTCCTCCTGCTGCTGCAGATGGCCCCACGCGGTCAGTGGCTCCAGATGGCCAGCCTGGTATGGACCAGACGTCCATGGAAGGCACATTTGCCAGTGCTGTTGCCAGCCAAATGTGCTCGTTCTGCCGTGGGGTTACCGTGCGTATGGAGGTCTCGTGGTTCGGAAGCTGTCACAGAGCTGGTGACTGGGTATGGCTGTTTATGAAGCGGCACGGTTTCTGCATGTAACATCGCTTTAAGGTGCTCTCGTAAATGAAAAGGCTGAAATGACAGGGCAATATATTTTTTTTATACCAAAGTATTTCAGAATTGACCGAAAACTTTACTTTGCTAAATATGAGGTGCTGCTGTTACTGATCTCTTACAGCTGCTTGCTCCTCAATGCAAGTTGGTCAGGCTGTCTGCAAAGCTCCTCCTGCAGCACTACATCTGAAAACACATCTGTCCAAACTGTACAGACACCTCTGGTGCAATGAAAGCTGCTTCCTTTCATTCCTTACAGTTAGACTCACGTATTGTTGACTTTTAAACGTGTGTTGGTGGTGGTACATATATCCATCAGCTCCCACAGAAAATAGGGCCACTCTTGCTGTATTTCACACTCGAGTTTGGGAATATCTAGCAGACAAGGAAAGGCAGCCTGAGCCTTTCAGAGGGAATACACCATCTCTGAAGTCCTTTCTGTTCTTGCTTTCTATTCGTAAAAATGTCCAGCTGTCCCCCTCCCCTGTGGAAGGATAGGGCTCGGACAGACAGTTCTGAGTAAGTAATCTCCCTCTCAGCTGCCCTTAGGATGAATAATACTGGTTTAAAATTTGGTGAGTATTTTTCCTGTCACTAAATGTAAGGGACAAATTTATAGTGCAGTTGTGACAGCAGATTCATTCATTCCAGGAAAAGCTTTTGGAATCAATGGGGCTGTCACATGCTACCAGTCTGTAGTGGGACAAACTGGTTCGGGATGATGCTATGTTTTCTCAATGAATTAGCTTAGGTTTTCAGCTGGAGGCATGACCAGTCTCTGGGAGGCAACAGAGAAGCTACTGTTTGGTATCACTCACAAAGCAGTACAGTCCTGACAGTCATGGTAGATTCGCATTAATCACTGTAGCTCCTGTGTACAGTGACTTCAGCTCCTGTAAGGAGTGGCGGCAGCGTGAGTCAAAGTTTCGGTAGGTTTGTGGATTTCTACTGCTCCCCCTTGGAGCTGTAACTTCCTTATGGGCCTGTAGTGCATGTCTTGTGTGGGACAGAGCTCTGGGGAACGCTGGAGAAACGCGGTAGCCCTTCCTGCCTCTCCCCACACTGCAATGGTCAGTCACTGAGATCAGACACTGAGATCCTGCTGTGCAGGAAGGCACATTAAATCAGGGATAAGGTTTATTGGTGATGGTGATAAGGATGGTGATTGATGTTCATTATATCTTCCTAGCTTTTACCTGTAAGAAGGTGCATTTTATCTCTCAGGAGAGGTGGGTACATGCTCTAAGCAGATTGAAGTAATTCTAGCTGCCCCTGTCTTGGGGAACAACACTGTTCTTTGTGAGAAGAATGAAGCTTCATGCTGAGAGACTGAAATACACATTTGAATGGACTCTCCTCCTTACATCCTGAAGTAGCAGGTTGGGAGCATCTACACCCTGTTGGTAGAGATGCCTGGAGACTGGACTCTGTTCTGTGGTTGTATCTGTGGAGTGAGATGTTCATAAATTTGGTCTCGTTTATTCATCAAAATGAAAAATGCCAACTGCTCTGTTGCTAAGATAGAGGCCCAGGCCTGCCGCCTGCTTCATGGAGAAGTCACTGCACGGCCACGAGCCTCTTCTCATCTCTGAGTGAGGTTCTCACCCATGGGTTCCTTCATAAAGTCAAGCAAGACTCAAAATGATTACAGTAGGTCTACTGCAAGCAAGGCAATTTTGGATCTAGGTTTTGCTCATCATTTCAGCCAAGTTCATACAGATGATGTCAACCTATTGCTCTGGGCCAAAGGTAGGAGAAGCCATGCAAATGCGAATTTTTGTCTCTATGTATATGGTTTATCATTGTGTAGCATGGTAGAGTCGTACTCTTCCCCAGAGAGAGACATACTGGTCCTGTGGAGAAATACTCAATACATCTCCCTAGCCAACTAGAGCAGATCTTCACTGGCATGGAACATCTTGATTCTTTATCTGTAATAGGACATCTGTTCTAGAATCTGAACTATCTAGCATTAAGGATTCCATAGCTGAGAGGAAACCAGGTTACAAGTATGTAGACCCCACCTTCCTGTCCCACAATCATGGAAGGGAACATATGGGGAACATTGAGGGAAATTAAAAAAAAAAGTACCTGATATCAAGTATACAGAGCATGTGCACACTTGAGGAGAACACGTAGGAAGGCAAGTCTCGGCACCAAGTGTGATACCAGATGTTGAAATTATCTTTCTGGAGAATGAAGACAAATACGATTGGGAAAGGTAAGTTTAGGCAGCAGCTAACTACAGTTACTTGGGAAAACTAGTGATTTTTTTTTTTACTAGCTGTGAGAGATCCTATCCAGTCATCATTCTGGAAAATATGCATTTTAAAGATCCTTTGAAATAACAACTAAATCTGCTAGGAAAAAAAAAATATTTATATTATGTACAAAATACATATATATATGGTATAATGGAAAATTAAGAGATTATTATTGTGGTTAAGAGCTAGATCAGCTTGAGGCACTGCCAAAATTGGCCTACGGGATGGATCTATGACAAAAATTGTGTTATGACAAAACCTAGAAAAATAAGAAAATGATGAAAAGGGTTTTACACGAGACTCCAAGATAACGAGAGGAACCACCAGAGGGCCCTGCACTGAGTACGCTGGCCCCAACCAAACCCGAGTGATGAGTAAGCTAGCCATTTTACTACAATAATCATACAACTGCCATCTTTTCTCTGTGGATAATCATTAGTAGGCATCATGTGGAAGCTTATTTTGCATAGAATGAATTAGTAATTTGAGGAAAAAGTGAGTAAAATGGCACAAATGGGACATAATTAGTGGCCGAGTAATTATATTGGTGTCATTCTGAGTGTGTTAAACTAGTCAGATAAATATGTAATTACAGGTCATCATGACTTTGGGGATGCTGTGAGTAGCTGGGTAGCAGGATGTAAAGCTGTGGGTCGCCCGTGCTGGGGCTTGTTCTGCCTCAAACCCGACTTTTAAGAATTTACCAGAAAGATGACTTCTTGCTTTCTGCTAGAGTTGCTGGGAAGCCAGGACAGCTTTCCCATACATAAGTGATGCTGTGCCCTTTCAGAATCCCCTCTAAGTGTCCTGCAGACGGTTCACCCCCAAGCCCACCTTTGCTTTGCTCTTCCTGCCACCGTCACCATCTGTTGCCTGCAGATGGGGTCTGGGAACTCAAAGAATTCAAGGAAGCAGTGCTAGGAAAGAGATGAAAAGTAGAATAAAGAATTCACACTACCTCTGCTACA